TATTTTAGAAATTAATCAATTCTAATCAATAATTTAGAAAACTAATCGATTATAATTAATTATTTGAAAAAATTATCAAATATGATTGATCATTTTGAAAATCTAATCGATCAGAATCAAAAAATCTGGTTGTATATGATAGCGGTTCCACTGGAACCAGCTCTTAAAAGAGCACTTCTAATAGCGAGTTAAACCTTAACCGCTATCTAACTATATTTTATTTATTTATTGATACATTTTTTCATCAGATATCGCTCGAGCGAGACTATAGTCGCTCAAGCGAAATACAACCCGAGAATGTCAATTTTGTGCGGAGGCGTTTCGCTCGAGCGAGACCATTGTCGCTCAAGCGAAATACATTTTAGATAGCGGTTCCACAAGAACCGCTCTTAAAACGCACTTATAATAGCGGTTAACCCTTAACCGCTATCTAAATTATAGTTTAGATAGCGGTTAACGTGGAGCCGCTATCATATCTTCTCAATTATGATCTATCATTTCTAATTATAATTGATCATAATGAAAACTTACATTAACTATTTTTTTGAATATTATGTTTTTAAATTTGCTATTAGAGAAAACCTTTCAGAATTCAAAATGTTAAATACTTCTAAATATTAAAATTAACTTTATAAAAAATTAGGAAAAAAAATTAATCCAAAAGAGTTCAAAAATGTATTATAATATTGTCAATTTTGAGTTTAATTATATGTAATTATTTTAATTTAATAAAATATAATTTAAATTTTTAATACTAAAATTAAAAGATTTACGTTGCATGAGGTTTCTTCACTTAAAAGATTTTGCAAAATGCCTCTAAAAATGTTTTTAACAATTAAAAACAAAGTATTTTGACAAAAGCTTTCTCAAACAAGTTTTTAAGCGATACAGACTTTGATAGAACCGATTAAAATTACTTAAAATGTCAAGTGAAATGTTTTTACAATATTTTAATCGATACAACTTGATTTTAATCGATTAAAACCACTTAAGGGTTCAGGACAATCGATCAGAATGCAATTATGACCGATCGAGAATCGATTATGATCGATCAAAATTTAGTTATGACCGATCAGAACTCTTTTAATCGATTAAATCTCGTTTCAATCGATTAAAACAACTTAAAAATTTCTACACAGCGTTTTAATCGATTAAAACTTATTTTTATCAGTTAAAATAACTTGAAAAGTTTTACAAGAAAGTTTTGCGAGTATTTCAATCGATTGAATCGCGAAACAATCGATTAAATCAACTTAGAAGATTTTTTGTAAAGTGTTTTAATTGATATAAACGTTGTCAGTATCAGTTAAAACAAATCTGTTAAAGAATCAAGAACGTATTAATGGATTAAAATAAGTTTTAACAGATTAAAGCTGCACTTTTAACAGATTAAAAGAATCTTTTAACAGATTAATTAAACCGATGGTTTTGAAAATCTTCTATAAAAACAGTTTGGCTTGAACTTTTTTAACATACATTGAATATCATCTTTTACACATCCTTGAGCAATCAATCAAGCAAACTTCAGCACTCTTTTCAAGAAAGATTCGCATCAGTTTTTGAGAAGTTTTTTGAAAATCTTTCTTGAGGCAACTTGATTTCTTTTGAAGAAGAAACACTTACTGCAGAATTGCATAAAGCTGGTTTGAGCATTCTAGTTTCTTCTTTTTCATTTCTTTACATTCTTTTTGTATTGTTTGGTGCACTGGAATTTGGGCACTTGGTTTCTCTATAGTTGGAATTTGGTTGTAGAGGTTATTAAGAAGTCTGGAATTTGGTAATACTGAGAAAACATTTCAGAAAGCAAAATGTTAAATACTTTTAAATATTAAAATTGACTTTATAAAAAATTAGGAAAAAAAATAATCAAAAAGAGTTCAAAAATGTATTATAATATTTTCGAGTTTTAGTTTAATTATATTTTTCATTCTCAAAGTAGAAAAATATATTGTAATATTATTTTAATTTAATAAAATATCATTTAAATTTTTAATACTAAAATTAAAAGATTAAATAATAATAAATTTAATTCTTTAAATTTAGTATTTAGAAACTAAAATTATAGTTTCTCTGTTTTAAAAAATTAAAATAAATATTTAAAAATAAAAATCAAATCTATTATTATGTTAAATTTATTAAAAGTATAATTAAATCTCTATTTTCTTCAATTTTTTAATATAAAGTTTTAAAATATAATTTAATTTCAATTGAAATTTTCAATTGAAAAATAAATTCAAGAATATTTGTTATTAAACTTTTCTTAAACAATGTATTGAATAGTTAACATCACTCTGGTCTTAATTTATTACAATTTAAATTTTTAATAAATTTGATTTATTACAATTCATTTTGTTAATATTGAGACCAAAGTTTATTTTTAAAGTATATTTTAAAAATTAAAATATTTTTAAAAAATAAATTACTTTTAAAAAATAAATTGTAAAAAATATACTAAGACAATTAAAGTATATTTATAAAAAAATTAAATATAATAAAAAAATAATATTCATTAGCGACCGATTTCAATTCGGTCGTTATTTTCTCATTAGCGATCGATTTTAATTTGGTCACTATTTCAATTTGTAATTCGATCGCTAAATCGATCGCTAAATGATTTTTTTATTTTAGTATGAAATAGCCACTCGATTTAGCGATCGAAATTTTGCGACGCAAAATATTGGTCGCTATTTCGATCAGCTAAATAAAAAAGTGCAAAATAAATCATATTTTGGTCGCTAAATCGGTCAGCTAATTGCGACCGAATTAAAGTGGTCGCTGAATCGGTCAGCTAATTGCGACCAAAATTAAATCGATCGCTAATTGCGATCGAAAAAATTCGATCAGCTAATTTCGATGGCTAAATGTGTTTTTTCTTGTAGTGTAAATATTTAGACAAAATTTGAATAAAAAAAACAAATTTTGGCTAAAAAATTTAACTACTTGTTTTAAATTATTATTAAGTTATTTACAAATACTGCAAAATTGAAAACAAATTAAGTTATTTGTTTGATATTATTGAGATTTTATTTTAATTAAAAATTAACAATTAAAAATAAATAATAAATTATTATGAGTTATATACTTTATATTTAATTTAGTTTTGTTTAAATAATGCATGTTATATATATATATATATATATATATATATATATTTATCAATATTTTTTCATATTATTTTATTTATTTTTCTCTTTTCACTCTTTAAACATAATCTATTTTCTGTCATTTAATCTCTCTGCATATTTATTTCTTAGCAATTTCCTTTTATTATGCTTCACTCATTGAAATATATTGTGTCTTAAATATTGAGTAATATTAAGATAAAGAACCCATATAATATTTAAATGATTCATCGCATAAATTACGAAATTATATTTAATTAAATCGGACAACAAATCATTTATACTAGAAGCATTTCTAAAATTACATTATAATTTCAACTTTACAATAATCATCAGATGAAGTTAAATTTAATGGTTCTTATTGTATTTTACAAATGAATTAAATGAATATTATTAATTATATTATTAATTATATATTATAGTTAAATGTAATGGTTCTTATTGTATTTACAAATGAATTAAATGAATGACATTAATATTACTAATTATATATTATAATAAATTTCAACACACTTAATATTTTTAAAGAACCATTTAAAAGATTAAAATATAATAAATTATCTTCCTTATAATTATTTTCAATATGTTGATAATTTTGTGAAAAAAGTACTGATATATTTTAAATGCTTGGCGAAAATATATGATTTAAATCAACTCATGCATCACACAATTTTAGAATGTAGTTAGTATCTGGACACAATTAAATTGGTTTTGTTAAACAATTAGAAGAAACTCATTTTATTAGTCAAAAACAATATGCCATATATTTATATTAATTGAAATTATTAAACGAAACACATATTTTATTTAAAATTAGAAATTATGTGATTTATTTATTATTAATTTTTGAAAGCTTATATTTAATAATGCTATTATTTATTGTGTATGGTAACATAATTTTAGACTAGTTATTTAGTTATTTTTTCTAAAATAAAGTTTAATTGATTGACAGTACAAAAATAGGGTATGAGAATTAAACTAATTTTTGAATGAAATACAACAGTAAAAAGTAGTATAAGATGAAGAAACGGCAAACAGAAGAGAGGCACGACGCAGTCGGGATTGGACGATTCTTTGACCGTAGGAGCGAGGATTTTCTCGCACATGGCCAAATTGAATATTACATCTTTTACTGCTGCACACAAAACCCGCATGAAATCGAAAAGGATCTTCGTTGAATTTGGTTGGTTTTCTCTGTCAAATGATACAATTTCACGGCATAATAATTGTTTATTGTGAAATTTTATTTATGTTTTATAAATTTCAATATCATCGTTTAGATTGCGTGTCAAATTTGACCAACGTTGCTTTGCAGTTTCTGCCACAATTTCCTTTCATTGTACAATTCATCGTCAACATATATCAATATGAACGAGGCGGTGGCCTGTTCTTGTCGTGTCAAATTTCTTCAAGATCTTTCTTTTAACCCCTATTTTGCTTAACAATCTCTCTCAAGTTTCACCTACCGACCCAAGTTTTGTTGTAGCCTATGATAGGACCCTCCCCGGACAAATTATTGTAGCTGCTGCAGTATCTATTCTTTCGTTCTTCGTTTTTCTAAGGTGATGGTCTTCTCTATCTTACCTATTTTCCTTTATTTTTCATCTAGTCATTGTTCCGTCGGGATTTATATTTGTCTAGCTTATATGGTTTCGGCCATGAGACCTGCTTTTTACATTCTCGTCAGTTCCGAATTGTCGAGATTCGTCATTTCTGGATGAATGCATCGTGTCAACTCTGATATATGCGTCTCTTCTTTCTTTCTTTCTTTCTTTTTTTTTTTTTTTTCTTTTAGTTCAAACTTGTGCTGGCTTGATGTTCCAGGAGTCAAGAAATACATCATCGTTTATTTCTGGAGGACAGATCCCTAAAGAGGTTATGGAGGAAACGTCTGCAGCAAGGTATTGGTGTCACATGTGCTCTCAAATGGTCAATCCTATCATGGATGTGGAAATCAAATGCCCCTTTTGCCAAAGTGGTTTTGTTGAAGAAATGAGTAACGCTCCTGGTAGCATCGACATTGACAATATGTCACAAGCTGATTTCGAATCTGATCGGGCTCTCTCCCTTTGGGCACCCATCTTGCTAGGCATGATGGGCAATCCACGTCGCCGTCGAAGGCTTAGGCAAATAGAGAATGATAATGACAATGATAGTGGTAATCGTGATGATGTGGATGGTGTAGTAAACCATGGTGGAGAACCTGAATATGATCAAGAGCTCGAGTCCATCCTTCGAAGGAGAAGAAGAAACTCAACTACTATTCTGCAATTGCTCGAAGGTATAAGAGCTGGGCTGGCTTCTGAATCATATGAAAATACCGATGGCGATGACCATGACAGGGAAAGAGAAAGAGAAAGAGAAAGAGAGCGTGTGATTCTGATCAATCCTTTAAATCAGACTATTATTGTTCAAGGTTCCTATGAGTCAAACCGGGATCAAAGTGATAATCATAGCCACGTTGGTTCCCTGGGTGATTATTTCATAGGGCCTGGTTTGGACATATTGTTGCAACATTTGGCTGAGAACGATCCCAATAGGTATGGAACCCCACCTGCTAAGAAGGAGGCCATTGAAGCACTGCCTACCGTGACAATCAATGAGAATTTGCAGTGTTCTGTGTGTCTGGACGATTTTGAAGTTGGTTCTGAAGCTAAAGAGATGCCTTGTAAACATAGGTTTCATAGCGGGTGTATCCTTCCATGGTTGGAGCTTCATAGTTCTTGTCCTGTTTGCAGGCTTCAGTTGCCAGTTGATGAATCTAAGCAAGACTCTGATGGGTCAAGGACTAGCAGAACCCGAATGGAGGAAGAAAATATTGAACATGACAATTCTGAAGAAAGAGACGGTGAAAGGAGAAATGCAAGTAGGGGTAGAAGATTCTCATTTCCATGGCCTTTCAATGGATTATTTTCTTCATCGAACTCTTCATCCTCTTTCAGATCTAATGAAAACGGAAATGATACTATATCAAATGAAAATGAAAACTGAGTATTCTTTTTATGTCTGCTCTGCTATTCAAGCGCTGCCTTGCTTTTTGTACAGTCCTCTACCAATCAAAGGGTCCAATGTTGAAAGAACAATTTGCGATATATCTTGTGGCTTTGCTTTTACTAAATTTTGTGATTCCTAGAACCCAGTTGTTGCTATTTTCCCCTCAACTTGGCATCTGTATAATTCCCGTGGTGTTTTATTGCCCCATCTCATCAACTTGTTCTACATTGGTCTATGTTGATGATGGCACCAGGTGGGAAAATATGGAAGTAAAATTAGTAATTGATGTTCATCTTCACCAGAAAATAGGACAGTGGAAACTGTACTATTGAAAATTTAGGCCAGATTTTACATTGTAATTTTTCCCGAAGTTATTACCTCTGTACCCAAACATATTTAAGAAAAAAATCTTTTTAAATTTTACCTTTACATTTTCTGCTTTTAGTTTACTATATGGAAAATGGTGTATTGAGAAGTAATTTTATATGGAAAATGGTGTATTGAGAAGTAATTTTTTCATATATATATATATATAATTTTCATTATTATTATTATTAATCATGGCACACTAAGAAAGAAACTAACGTCGTAATTCAAGAAACACAACATTAATACGATGTACATTATTGCTAAATAAATCTGCACACCATTTTAACCAAGACTGCTTATTTAACTAATTGTAATGTAATATTAAAAAATACTTCTGATGTGGCAAACATGCTGCTTCCTGAAAAGTAAAAACGCTACTACTGTGATGTAATTTATTTTTTCTTGTTTTAGAAAATATAAGAATATTAGGCTCATGGAGTTGGAAATGTTGCTCTGTAAGTGGTTTAAAAATATGATTTTGGTTCTCAACAATACGATCATTTTTTTTTCATTATATCTTTAAACTGAACGCACTATATTGCTTGTGTAACCCAGGTTCTGTAATAGTGAATATTCTACCATTTTTCTAAAAGTGTTTCTTGTGGATCCTTTGATTTAATCATGTCAATAAAAAATTTGTTTCCTTTTCTGCATGTTTCAAAACTGGACAATTACGGTACAAGCTTAATGACATTACGTGGTTCTTCTTTGTAATCCTATTTATATTAAAAATAAAAAAGTTAGAGAAAAAACCATAAGATAACTTCTATAAATTAATTTACAGATAGATAATTTCAACTAGTGAAGAGACTAATTTTTATTGTTCTCTTTTTTTTTTCTCTTGAAAAACTTTTATAAAAATTTATCTAAACAAACCTTAGGTCACGCCTACGGAATCCTTGTTCCATAATCTTAAAACGGAGTTGCCTATTATACTCTCTAGAATTTCATTCTAGATCATTTTTATTTGAGAAGTACTTTCTTCACCCTATTATATAAAAAAGAGCATAATTGGTAAATTGAAATTTAGGGTGTACAGGAAGAAATTAATGGGTTGGTAGTCTTTGAAGAAATATCAGTCTGGCTCAATTTCTAATCAGTCTGTAGCAAACAGATAAGATTTCCTCCGTAAAGCCGACCCAAGCCCTTTTTATTGCAAAATAAGAATAATATTCCTAGAATATAAGAGATACTAGAACTAAATATGACAAGACACCTTTCAGATATTGCTTTAATGCATTAAGGAATCATTCATTGTAACTAATCTTGCCTTTTAGGATATCGTTTCACGTAAGAGTGAATCCATTGATCCTTGCTAAATAGAGTGTAGTCACGTTAGTAATCCCCGAGAAGAATGTATAGCCAGTATCAAACCTTTCGAAACCGATGTCGCTATCAATTTGTAGCATGAAAAATGTTTTCTAAGGCAAAAGCCACTGAAATAAAATAAGAAAAAAAGGCTCACATTCATTATTCAGCCCAAGAATTAATTAAAGCTTGGAAACCAAAGTTATGCATAAAATTAGTAACTGTCACATTATTGTCTTACAATATATAATTACAAAGAAAATGAAATTTCCGAGACCCAAATACTACAAAGATAGAGAATATGGTATTCTATGCTACAATCAACAGTTTCTATCAATCATGCTAATCTGGGTTAAAATCAGCTGTTCTAGAAAAGTTCATGTACATTCCCAACGATTGCTAAATCTACTCCCTGGAACACATCAGCCTCTATAATTAATTTACATGTAATCACAGTGGATCTAGTATGATACAGTGTACTCAGCACAGTTTGGCTGTCTTTCCTCTAACCAATAAGCATTCGTCACCATCATTGTATATAAAGCGTAGTCAAGATTTTTCTGACTGCTTGGAGAGCTCTTTATCGGCAAAGTGAAGAAGTCTTCTTAGTCTTAGGACCATGTCACAGTGGAAGGGAAGTGCTGTTCGCCGCTCTAAGTACGTGGGGCTAACCGTCATCCAAGACAAGGCATGAAGCTCTGCTGCAATAGACTCCAAAACCAAGTGGCTCTCAATTTCAAAATCTTTAGCTTCCCAGCTTAAACTTCTACCAAGTTGCTTGTTAATTCCTCGGACAATCTTCTCCTGGGGGATGTTAGTACCTCCATAATAATCAATGAGGCTCACAGAAAGTATAGAGGGCCATTCTTCTTTTAGGTTGCTTCTATAGTCCTTCCTCATGGAAGGTACTGCTTTTGAAACCACAAATCCAGTAGAGAGAGGAAGAGCAGAACCCTTGCTGTGAAGCAGATGAGCTAGTGGTGGTGACTCTGCTGTGAGACATGTGGGGAGTTGAAGAACTGTTGGAGGAAGAAATCGCATGCTGGGAGAAGGAATTAGAATGAATGCAGAAGACGTAGAACCAAGAGACTTCACTGGAGTGAAACCTTCGATGTAAGCTGACATAGACAAACCACCACCCCTTTCAGTTCCGCCTCCAAAAAATGGATTTTGCAAACAATACTTACACGATTTACTTAATAATGAATATTCAATTATGATCTAGCACTACATAAATTCAAAACATGCCTTAATAGGTTTTTGGTGTATGGGTGAAATGAAATTTTGAAAAATGTAATCATTGTAATGAATGTAATTTAACGAAATAAGAAAAGAAAATAGAAATAATAGTAGCATAGATAACTCACCAGGAGTGGACGGATCTGCTGGGAGAACTAGTTGTAACGTATGGTCCATGGAAACTGAAACAAAACTAATGCTTTGTGCCCAATGAAGCAAACCCCTTGAATTGTCAACCATAGAATGCCCAGCCATAAGCTGTTTTCTTGCAGCAGGTTGCCCTAAACTGGCTTTCATAAAGCCAGTGGACTTGGTATGAGGGCTATACAAAGGACTAGGCGAGGAAGGAAGAGTTCGTTCCGGGATCAAACTCATGTCTGGTTGTTGCAAAGAAGAACCATTACTAGTTGCAGACAACCCATCAGACATAGATTTCCGCAATTGAAGAGGCCATCTCCTCATCTCAGATACACCGACTGAATAAATGGCTTTCTGCCACTCTGTTTGAATAAAAAGATCAAGGTAAAAATGCATCTATAGATGCAGAAATAAGATGCAAATGTACACGTAGCTTCTGAATCTAAAGTGGTGTAAATATAAAGCTAATTTACTAGTGATGGAGGTAAATATGCCAACAACCATGCACCATTCTGTGTGTTTGTGAATAACTTGCATAGTTTTAAATCCCAGACAGGATAATCACTAATCGTGAATTTCTTTTTATTACTGTTATTGTTTTATATATATATACATATATCTTTCTGACCTATATTATAATCTTACCAACCCAACTGCTCTTATTCCGCTAAAAGAGCAAAGATAAAAGCCCTCTTATGCCAGAAATTTAATTAAGAATAAAGTGTACTTTCACCTCTGGAATGGCAGCATACGAAAGACACCCACTGGCATGCTTATTATATTTTTAATACTGTTTTCATTTATTACATTATGTTATGTTTAGTTTTTATTACTATTATATCTTAGCTTTAAATAATTCATTATATATTATTACTATTTAGTTCATTATATTTATCATAATTATTATTTCATTATATTATATGCTATGCCCGACAAACTAAAACAGAAAACGGACAAAATAAACTCAAATAAGTTTTGGGCGAATTGGCCTAATTCTCCCAATTCCAAACTTTCTTTACTATAACCTCCACGAGTCTACCCTAACCCAGGCTGTTGACAGCTGTAACTGTGACAGCTGTATATATACATCAGCATAACTTTTATCATCAAGAAATAAGATCGGATTGTTTTTCTTCCTCAAATCTCTTACTTTTAACACTACGTCTCTAAATTATACCATTGCAATGCCATTTTTTTCAGAGTGGATTAGCCATGTCCGAAAACTGATGTGCATATAACCCACAGGATAAGAGGCGGAGAGAGAAATCTTACCAAGATACTCGAGCTCATAAAAACCTCCAATACGTGCTATCACAAAATCTCGAGGCTTGGCAAGGCCAGGGTCACAAGATTGAATTATCAGACAACCTTGCTGAAGAATTTGAACAAATAGGCACTGCAGACCCTTTGTATCCTGCCTACTGCTTATTCCACCAAAGGGGAAAATATTGCAGTCCAGCAATTCTCCCCTTGAATCTGTCCAGATGCATACGAGCCATCGCCAGTCTTCTGTCCATCCATAGCAACAATGTAGGCTTGGAGGAGTCTTCGGATCAGACCCAGATCCATCAGTGCTTGAAGCAGACTCCACACTTCCTGCTGTACTAGTACTCTGTACATAATTACCACTACTGTCATCTACCAATGCCTTGGAAGATTCTGAAGTCGGACTACCAATAACTGAAATACTATTTTCAAGAGAACCTGGTTCGGCAAGAATAAAAAGGGGTTCAAACATGTAACGAATTTCATCATGGAGAAAAATATCCCCAGTTCTACTTGAATCACAGCTTAATCCCCCAGTCCTTGTTGGCTGCCAAGAATTATCCCAAGTACCAGGCCTCAAGCTAGCATCAATGTCACCCTCTCTTGGAAGAGAATGTCCTGTCATTCGAGGACCAACACAGTCTTTCCACATCCCAGACATGGGAGAAGGCATTTGTGTCAAAACAGAATGAGATCTACCAGAAAATGCAGATTGAGAAAAATCACTAGAGATTCCTCGTGAAATGCGACGAGCCTTGCTGTACACAGTAAAGGCAGTATCTTTTAAAATGACAAGTTCACTGACAGATGGGCTAGTGACTCTGAAAATGGCATCCACTGTAACAATCTGCAAGACCAGTTTTGGAATACTAAATCCGGAAAGCACAAGGATATTAGATGCTGAAGCCTCGTCGACAGTAGCCAAGCCACTTAATGCCTTCACAACCTGGCTATGCAAGCTAGATCTCCTCTCTCTATCCGACTGTTGGACTACTGATCCAATGGCAACAGAAGATTCAATTACAGTTTGCAAAATTGCAGTGGGATCAGGAAATGGGCACACCACATAGATTACCTAAATTTAAGGAGAAAAGTTGAGATCAAAAGTGTCAAGGCACATAGGTCTAAAATACAAATTAGAGAAATATGGTATAAGAAAACTATTTTCTGTTATGAACAGTGTCATGACATTAATGCTTCAGCCAACCATGTTGTTAGAGCCTCATCATAATTTGATCTGATTAGCTCATGATAATCATTTAATCTACAAAATTTTGCCTATAAACAAGTCACTTACCAAGCACGAACTGTTACTTCCTTCACCGGGGTTTGTAGAAAAGCAAGAGCCAATTTTCAAACCTCTAAGTGCCTTAGAAAGAGACTTGAGATAACTAGTCAGATCCCAACCATTTGATAATGATAAAAAATAATCACTTAATGAACCAACAAGAGATGCATTACTGCTCTCAATCTTCATTGATTGGGGGCAGTCAAGTAAAACAAAACCACAAGATGACAACTTTGAAGACTCTAACTCCATCTGATTAGCCAAGCCTTGAGGTGAATGAGTACCGAGCTTGCATGTCTCATACACTGAAAAGAATAAAGAAAACTAAGACTAATAAAGCAGACCAATACAAAAAATCTTAGTGAAGGGTGAAACTTAAATCAGCAGTCACAATGCATATAAATATGGAAGCAGAGAAGCTCTGGCACAGCAATCAGCTAGTGTTACATTCAATTCGTACAACACGCAGGAAAGTCCAGAAACACAAAATCCTCAAAGCACTTCAAATAGCCACTACATCCATCAAAAAGATCACTTTTATTTCCTAGGAGACAGGATTCAACTATGTTTTCTCCATATTTTTTTACATCCTTGTTAATGTCAATAATACATGATAAATATGATAGAAATAAAATTTTTTTAGAAACCAAGATATAGCATAATATGTATCAGATATAAAATTTGTAAACATCATCAAATAGTCTTTATAAAGTACTTGAAGCATAATTACCAATATTTACCTGTTCCTAGTTGTTGAAAAAAGTCAGCAGCGGCAGAAGTAAGGGGATCAATGTCAGGACATACAACATGATACGTAATCTGAAACCAGCAATGCATATAATGATATTAATGAAAGTATACTCTTAAGCTTATTACCATCAGGTATTAAGTCAGACTCTATGGTAGAGAGGGTTCCATTAATGACAGCAGCAATTGGTGATAATGAACTTACAGGTTTCTGCAGAGCATAGGGCTCAAGAGGAGCCTTTTCCCAATGCTGCAAGGAGTTTGCTGATGTCTTGAGCCAATCATCCTGATACCTATTGGGCATGCTTTGTATTGTTAGAACACACTCTAAACACTCACCAAAAACTGGGAAGAAAAGGGAAAGGGAACAAGAGATATGGGTGCTGAATATGAAATTTTATATTGCACACACATGTATAGCAATACGTCATTACTATTTATAGTACTATTACAAGCAGTTAGTAAACAGCCCACTAACCAAGGTTGTCAAAATCAAGATTACGAGTGAGATCTTAAAAGATTCACAATATCGTAAACAGTGAGATCTTAAAAGATTCACAATATCTTAAACCGTGAAATCGTAACATGAATTGTAGATCTTACTTTTATATATTATAAAATAAATATTAAGAATCACACCTCAAAATAAACATAGAAAAAAGACTAACAAAACACAGCTTATGAAATAAAAAAATAAAAAGACTGTTATTTAGTTTTAAAGACAAAAAACTTTCATAATACATCAGGAAATAGGAACAGTTTTTTTTTTATTGTTTCAAAGCGCAAGTCTGCTGGAGAATTCAAACAGTTTTTCTTTTTTTTACTGTTTTGAACAAAAGCCTCAATCGGCGGCAGAATTCAAACAGTTTTCGTTTTTTTTTTTTACGGTTTCCACGCAAGCTGCAACCCACGACCGGTGATGTAGCCCCAACCCACAACAGGCAATGGAGCCGCGATGCATCTCCAACTTGTGACACGTAAGTCACAACCGGTGATGCATCCCCAACCCGCACCGCGACTCAGATTGTGATTCCACCAATCCTACACTATTACACTATTCCAATCTCCCATGAGAACTGAATCGGTGATTGGGTGCAGAATCGTGGAATCCTATGATTCAACGATTTTCCTCTCGATTTTGACCACACTGCCACTAACTACTTAACTAACATACCACAGTAACTGAATTATCAACATGTATGAGTGGTTAACTAAATATCAAAGCAATGTTACTAATATCGGATGATATTAGCAACCAAAAAAATCCTTCATGAAAATATATGGGATGTGTCATTACAGGTTTAGGCAAAAGTATTGCAGACAAAAAAAAATGTATATATATATATAGAGAGAGAGAGAGAGAGAGAGAGAGAGAGAGAGAGTGAGAGAGAGAGAGAGAGAGATTGATTGATAGATATAGCTATAGATATAGATATAAAATGCATGACTATAATTGAAATGCAAAAAACAATAAAAAAATAATCATATAGTTAACTAGCAAGTCTAGAATTTTGAATAACAATTGAATCAAAGCAAAGCATCATCAAATTTAAGTTCTAAACCACTACAGTTGATATTGGAGTTGCTGAAAAATAGATTAACTTTTTTAGATGCATAAATTACAAAAAATTTGTGGAGGTTGGCAGTGGCTGGAATGAAGAGGAAAGAGAATAAAAGAAAAAAAAGAATGTGGCTAAATGGCCTAAGAATGAAACAAAAAGAAAACAAAAGGAAAGCAAAAAGGAAAAAAATGGTTGATTCATCTTGCTGCAAATGAATGATGGAAGACTGAAAAAGAAAATGAAGTTGAACATAGAAAAGAAAAAAAAAAACAGATTAAATGTGCAGCAGTCGGAACTACAGCAGCAACTCAGGTCGAAGTGCAAGAGATGTGTGCTGGGTTGGGTCTTTTTCTTTTTTAGCTGTCAGGTTTAGGTTGTGCCATATAACCTAACTTTTTTCCTTTTTTTTGGCTGCTAGTGGGGTGGGTCTCTTGTAAAACAAATAAATAAATAAATAAAACACACAAACAACAAAAGCATCAGATTAAAAGTAGAAACCGTATGTTAGTCCTGGATCAGTTCAAGTTGTGTAAACCCAACACATCTTCCACCTCTTGACATAAGCTGCACAGCTGCAGGAGCGAGATTTTCGCCATGGCAGGTGCCATTCCATGACAGCCAAAGTGGCTGCTATGGGCCGCCATGCAAAACCTGTTTTGCCACCACCTTGTCGTGGCAGCTGGCAAAAGTTCTGCTTCAGGTTTCTGCCATGGCACCACTGTTTTCCAATAACACTACCAGATGCATGCTGTGTTAGTTACATCTTTTCAATATATGATGGACAATATACCAGCAAATAAGTGATTAATCTATTGGGTTAACTATATCACTTAAAAATAAAGAACTGAAATTGTTTATGGCCAAATTCCATGAGAGATCAACCAGTGTGTGTATTTTATATATAAATAAATACAAAAATATCCCGAAAATATAGGGATTACTACTCAATCAACTAACTAAATGAAAAACTATTCAAGATATAGTTATCTAAGAGTTCAATTTCTAAAAAATTAATGACATTCAATGTTATCAACTGTGGAATGTGGAGCATGGGGGAAAGACAATAATCTGCTATATCATATCGTGGATAGCATTGCGAGCATATAGTGGAAGTCACATAACAAATGAAAATATATGGTATATGTCAATTGTATAGGTCTAAAAAATTTAGTTGAATACTGTTAGATATGATTAGATATTAGTTGATATTGTTTGATATTATTGAGATATTGTTAGATATTGTTAATCACAATATCTAATAATATCTTTTATTTACCCTATTTGTATTCTGTTACTCTTTTGAGGAGTACCTTTCTTTATTATAAATACACTGCCCTATGTGTGGTAAATACACAAGGGAAATTAATCCTATACAGTTTTTCCCTATATTTAACATGGTATCAAGAGCTTAAGGTCTCTTGGGATTTTTTTCGGCTCTGCCACTGAACCTGCAGCTGTCGCCGCCTCCAGCGCCGTCCGCCGCCGCCGCCGCCGTCGCCGGAGTAGCAGTTCGGACCGCCGAGCACAGGGTTTTGCTCGCCTCCTCCGTGCGACTTTCACCGTGGAAGTTTCGCGGTCATCGGAGCAGCCACGCTCCCTCACGCGCCTCCCGAAGCCGCGCCACCTTCTCCCGTTCCGCCGCGCGTGGCGGCGCGTCTCGCCGCCGCTCTTTGCGCCGGCGTCGCCTCCTTCTCCTCTCTCTGGATCTGTCCTCGCTACTCCAATCGGACCTCTTTGGTGTTTTAGGGTTTTTCTCTCTCTTCCTCCATGGCATCTTCCGCTGCCACTTCCAATTCTGAAGTTACCTCTGTCAGCTCCGGTGGGTCTGAGCAATCTGTTTTTACTAATTATGTCAATGTGAATTTACCCATTGATAAATTAGATGGTACGAATTATGCAACTTGGGCATCTAATATTAGACTTTGGCTTGAGAGTCAGGGGTATGTTGATCATCTTACTACCAAGGTAGATGATGTTCCTTCCAATGATCGTGTCCGTTGGAAGAAAGTTGATGCTCATATATGTATGGTTCTCAAGAATACCATCCAATCTTCTTTAAAACAAATTTTTCGATCGTATGGCACATGTTATGACGTTTGGGAACAAGCCAAATTATTATACACCAATGACACTCAACGCCTTTATGGTGTTTGTTACAATCTTCTTGATGTTATTGCTCCTCGAGATAAGGATCCTGTGGCGGATTATGTGGGTAAGATCCATGCTCTTCTCCATGAATTTAATGAGTTATTACCCCCGCCTCGACTCCTGCCCAAGAATTAGAGCAACGATCAAAGTTTTTCATGGTTTTGATGTTACACGGACTTGCTGATAAATATGCCCCTGTTCGTGACCGGATTTTGGGTTCCCCTGTTACACCCAGCTTTACCGCTACCAGTTCCTCCCTTTTGCGGGTGCCATGTAAACCTCTCAATATTCCCCCTGTAGTTTCTAATGATTCATCTGCCTTGGCCTCTCACCGTGATGATCGTAATCGCTCTCACAAGCCAGGCAAAGGGCGTGTCAAGTGTGACCATTGTGGCAAACTAGGCCACAAAATTGACAAATGTTATGCTTTACATGGTTATCCTCGCCGATCTGCTGCAGTTGCTCAGACTGATTCTTCCGCACAATCCTCTGCTGTGGATCCTCCTTCGTCTGTACCTTCAGACAAATCTGCTATCTTCAATGATTTTCTTCAATGGTATGAGGATCGAAAGCCCTCCGGTTCCGTCCACAGAGTCTGACCTTCCTATTGCCCTTCGTAAAGGTACGCGTTCTACTCGTAATCCTTCTCCACATTATACTGCTTTAAGTTATCATCGAATTTCTTCACCATTTTATACCTGTCTCTCGTCTATTTCTTCTGTGTCTATTCCTAAATCTGTCTCTGAAGCCTTAGCCCACCCTGGTTGGCGTCAGGCCATGCTAGATGAACTCGGTGCTCTTCAGACTAGTGGAACCTGGACGCTTGTCCCATTACCATCTGGAAAATCTGTTGTTGGTTGCAGGTGGGTCTTCGCTATCAAGGTTGGTCCTGATGGTACTATTGATCGCCTCAAAGCTCGCCTTGTAGCCAAAGGCTATACCCAAATTTTTGGGTTGGATTATGGTGATACTTTCTCTCCAGTGGCAAAGATGGCTTCTGTTCGTTTATTCATTGCCATGGCTGCTATTCAACAATGACCTCTTTATCAACTGGATGTCAAAAATGCTTTCTTGAATGGCGATTTGCAAGAAGAGATTTATATGGAGCAACCTCCGGATTTGTTGCTCGGGGGAGTCTTCTAGATTGGTATGTCGTCTTCGCAAATCTTTATATGGCCTAAAACAGTCTCCTAGGGCCTGGTTTGGCAAATTTAGCGACGTTGTTCAACAATTTGGCATGACTAGAAGTGAGGCGAGACCACTCGGTCTTTTACCGTCACTCGAATCTTGGATGTATCTATTTGATAGTGTATGTCGATGACATTGTTCTTACAGGTAGTGACCATCATGGCATCTCTCGGATGAAACAACACCTTTGCCACCATTTTCAAACCAAAGATCTTGGCAAACTCGGATATTTCTTGGGTATTGAGGTAGCACAATCTACCGATGGCATTGTTATATCTCAAAGAAAGTATGCATTGGATATTTTGGAGGAAACTGGGTTGATGAATTCAAAGCCTGTTGACACACCCATGGATCCTAATACCAAACTCTTGCCAAATCGGGGGAGCCAATGTCGGATCCTGAACGAGTATAGAAGATTAGTTGGAAAATTAAATTATCTTACGGTTACTCGCCACGACATTTCCTTTGCGATCGGTGTGGTGAGTCAATTCCTCAATTCTCCTTGTCAAGATCATTGGAATGCGAGTCATCCGTATATTGAAGTACATCAAAAAGTCTCCTGGAAAAGGTTTGGTGTATGACTCCCATAATCATACAAGAGTTGTCTGCTATTCGGATGCTTGATTGGGCAGGATCTCCCTCCGATAGAAGATCTACATCTGGGTATTGTGTTTCCATTGGTGGTAACTTGATCTCATGGAAAAGTAAGAAACAAAGTGTTGTGGCAAGATCCAGGTGCGAAGCGAGTATAGAGCTATGGCCTCGGCTACCTGTGAACTTATTTGGCTCAAACAATTGCTTAAAGAGCTACAATTTGGAGATGTCACTCAAATGACACTAGTGTGTGACAATCAGGCTGCTCTCCATATAAGCTCTAATCCTGTCTTTCATGAGAGGACTAAACACATTGAGATTGACTCGCCATTTTATTCGGGAAAAGATTATGTCCGGAGACATCAAGACCGAGTTCGTTAACTCATGTGATCAATTAGCGAGATATTTTCACTAAGTCTTTACGGGGACCTAGGATGGATTATCTTTGTACCAAGCTAGGCACATACGATTTGTATGCTCCAGCTTGAGGGGGAGTGTTAGATATGATTAGATATTAGTTGATATTGTTTGATATTGTTGAGATATTGTTAGATATTGTTAATCACAATATCTAATAATATCTTTTATTTACCCTATTTGTATTCTGTTACTCTTTTGAGGAGTACCTTTCTTTATTATAAATACACTGCCCTATGTGTGGTAAATACACAAGGGAAATTAATCCTATACAGTTTTTCCCTATATTTAACAAATACAAATAAACATAAAACACGTAAAATTCGCCATTATATTGACTCAAAAGTTCAATTGGCTAAAGACCTGTCAGCAATGACGAGGATGTGGGATGCATGCTACAATCACAACAATGATAGTCGCTGCCATAGCAGACAAAGTTGCAACAATGGCTAAGAAATTCCACTATGCAATAGTGCTATAGTGCCACTATAGAAGGTATTGAACAACACTGATGAAACAGTATTCAAGATACACTATGACTTAGGTAAAGCTTGTTCTTTGTCCAAACAAGCAAAACAAGCCTTAAAGAAAAGCAAGTTGAGTTTCATATATAATAGATAAATAAACTCAGTGCAAAAGGTTCAAACCATGCAATAGTGCTATAGTGCCACTATAGAAGGTATTGATCGACATTGATGAAACTGTATTCAATACACGCTATAGCTTAGGTAAAGCTTGTTCTTTTTCCAAACAAACAAAACAAGCCTTAAAGAAAAGCAAGTAAGTTGAGTTTCATATATAATATGTATATAAAACCCAGTGCAAAAGGTTCAATCCAAGTGGGGGCCTAAGGAAGGAAGATGTAAGCAGCCTTATGTCCTGTAAGCAGAGAGGCCGTTTCCAGGACTTCAATGTGTGAACTCTAGGTCACAAGATGGTAACCTAACATTTTAATCTAATTTTCCTTGTATGAGTGTTCACACACTGAACTCCAAGGGTCTGTTCAGTTTAAACGAAGTGAGGGGAAGAATTTTAATTAGGCATTATGTTTGGTTCATATAGCATGAGAGGGGGGGAGGGAGAGGTAACTGATAAGTAACCATGCACTTGGGAACCCATCCTCAAAAACTAGCTACTAATGGGAGAGGACCATACACTTAAATACTCCACCAAGCATCCCATACTATTCAATGTGTAACTTAGGTACCCTATAATATTCAAGTTCCTATCAGTAGCCCTTTTCTTGTTTGGTTCCAAAGGGGACATGAGGGATTTAAAAATTAATTTACTTTCATACCCTAAACCCTTATAATTTTAGATTTCAGAAGATGCATAGCGTTAACATGTTTTAAATCACCTCCTCTCCTCTTCAAATCCTCCCAATGATTGAAGGGAGCAAAAATTGGATGAAGAAGGATTTTGTTTTGAACCAAACAAGAAAGATCTAAAAAACCCACCCCTCTTCCATTTTCCTCCAACCAAACATTATGTAAGTCACAAGACAGGAAAGATATCCCTTGATTTGGAACAAAATTAGCCACTACAAGGATTTTGATCCAGGTATTTACCCAGAAAAGTTGTTGAAGATGGAAGCAAGTGTAATTACTTTCATACCCACCTTGGTCTGAGCCTAATATATTATTTGATACGAAAATTAAATATTATAAAAATACTTATACAATTAGGACAGATTAGTTGGTGACTTATCACAATGTCCACACATCGTATTCTTACTTTAAAATTCTAAGTTATATTATCCTGACTCTGTCATCTAATGCCATCATTTGTGGCTACATCTTCTTCTAGTTCGAAGATTAGTAAACTGTAATCCAACCCATCATAGAAATAGAATTTTTAATTAATGAATTTTGTTGAGGTTTTTTCAAAATTAATTTAATATTAAATAGCAGTTTTGTTTTATTAGATTAACAAAAATAAGTTAGTATTAGAATGTAAACATATTTCATTTAACTAAAATGCAGGTCAAAGGAATATGGGTACATAGGTACCCATAAGATAGGGGGATGAACAGTGAAGTTGCTACCAAAAACACATTCAAAAAAATTGAGAGACTAGAAAACTGAAATTTGTTGGTCTGATTCTATAAACTTAAGTGATGAGTATGTATAATACATAGGTAGTTGTGCAGCTGTTAACAGCCTGTAACAGAGAAACAGTTGGCAGTAACTAACTCTGCTGAGCTGACAGGATACCTAATGAACTGAAACGCTTGGAAAGAAAATAAAGCATAAGCTGTATGTTCAAATATGAGTGCAGGAAAAAGGCCTTTTTATTAAAAGTTGGTATGGAGATAGATAAAATAGTATCATATCCAAACACTACCCTTCGTTATTCATGCCTTACTCTTTTCACTTTGTCATTCTCCCTTAGTTATTTGTATAAGTCATCCTTATGCACTGTATGTTCAAATTAAGCTTAACTCCAAGCACCGTTTATTATATTGTCACGTGATATGAACAACCCTAGATAGCATCATAATCATCTAAACCATCAAATGCACTCAAATATTATGAAAAGCCTGGAACCCCAGGCAATCATGAATAAATTTACTTTGCTCTAAGCACAAATGACAAGAGTACATACCCTACAAGTATAGAAGGAAACGGAAGAGCAATTAGAGTAGGTTTTAGACGGGAACATGTTTGCTGCTCTGACTCTGTACTGCATAAATCATGGCCAGATCTCCTTTGAGAAGTCTCATCCACCTTAGCACTATCCATCATGTTGGAAACTGCAGTAGCTATCAAATTGTATTAGCATGATCAGTATCATGAAAAAAAAAAAACTTCCATCGCTAATGTAAACGCAAACTTCTACCCTTAATACTGGAAGATCCACCAACCGATGACTGGGATGGACTCATTGGTTCTGAAGAATCCCTACATTCATTATTGCTCGGTTCAACAAAAACTCCATCAACTATGCTTCCACTATCCACCAATGGATTGTGTCCTTTGCACCAATCAGTTATAGATAATGGCCCTTCCAAATTGGGAAAGGCGGATTTCAAAGCTGTTTTTATTTCAGACTGCAGCAAACCAATGACAGTGGATGCATGAACCTGAAAATTCAAAACACTGAAATATAAGTATAAAAAATGGAGCAGAAATCAATCAATAACACCATTGACCATTATTAGCCCAAAGCCCTAAAATAATCAAACAATTCTATAAAACTAGAATATTAAGAATATTACATGAAGGAATCAATCTAATAAAAAAGAAAACTGTGCAAGATGATACTTACTTAAGAGGTCAGCATCTTATCTATTTGGAAGTAGGAGCATTTAATGAATACTAATTTCCACGGAGCTTAGTTAGTGAGCTTAGCTGGGTTCAATGGATTATGCGTAAGGAAGTTATGATATTTTAATTGTTCTCTTGAAATAATAGTAGCTATTTATTATCTTTCTAATAATAATAATAATAATATCAATATCAATATTACAGCAAAAGCTTAAATGTACCAGAAACATTTTAAAATATTACACTTAGAATGTGAGTTCAACTGTAATTTAATTCTACAAAAATGGTTTCAAAGGTGAAAATTGCTCATTCTTATATAGTCTTTTTAAGTTCTATCTATAACCACGTAGGACTCGAGTTTTTCCCAATACATCCTCTCACTCAATACTACTGGGTGCGGTTTGTGGATGATATGATGATGGGTAACCCTTTCAATGGACCTAGGAAAGGCTCTGATACACTCTTAGAATGTGGGTTTAGACTTAATTCAATCCAACAAATTTGGTTTGTTGGTGATGATTGCCCCCACTTATATACTTCTTTTTGGCTCTATCTCTAATACTAACAACAGTAAAAACTTACATCAGCAGAGAGTGGATCCACTAACTCCAAGCCAGCAATGTCCAGTGAATGAGAAGAGGCAAGAGTTCCCCCACACCCAGCATGGACCATGGAAGGGCCACAACAGAATCCACGTCTCCACTGTTCTTGCATTGCAAGCAAACCATAAGGACCATCACCACAATCTGCATCCAAGGCCAGATCAACAAAGGAAATAGCTTGTTGGACAAGCAATGCAACACCATCAAGGAGCTCCTGAAGCGGTTTCCTTTGACCATAAGAAAGAATACCTTCTTCATTGAAAGAATTATGAGAAAAAGAAGGACCAACTTCCATGTTAGGTGAATTTGAAGGTTTTACAACTTTTGAAGTTCCTAATGTGCGCCAAACACCAACAGGGGCATTCACGTGACCATCAAGCATTCCTCCATCAATATCACCTGCAATTCTAATTGGTATATTTTCTTTCTTCTTCACATCATACTTGCCAGTTATGTTGTCTGTTGTTGTACTTGGGTCAGTAGGAAGCTGATTTAAAAATGAAACCCCAGTTGATTTACTCAAACCAACAGGCATTAGGTTACTTGAAGATAAGAGAATATGGCGTAACCTGCACACAGAAGCTTGCAGCATGACACATGTGATATCAGTTGCCAACAAAGTTTTTGCAGATAGAAGAAAATGCTCTGGTTCAAGTGTGCCTTCATTTGTCTTCCTTAGGGAAGACTTGGCAATAGCATTAGAACCAATGTTTGAGAGTGGCAGTTTCCCCTCAGATTTAGCAATGCTATTGTCATTACATGTGACAGGATTTTTACCATTATTTTCTTTCCTACTTTCCACAAATGTATAGTAATATTTTGAATGGAGATTCATACTAGAATCATGTTTTCCAGAACCTGTTTTTGTATTGACAGACATTCCATTCTTCCCCTCTGATCCTTCGGTGCAAGGAGATGAGGGTGCTGCTGCACCATATAAGTAATTGTTTGAACTTGAATTTGAACTCTCTGCTTTACGACACTTTGGATAATATGGGCTTCTGAATAATCTAGTAGACAACTCACACGTAGGGGTCTCAACAGCTCCAAATTCAGGAGCAAATGTCATCATTGCTTCAGCTTTCATTATATGATCAAACTCCCTTGTATACAACATTTGAGTTTGATTGGCTGGACCCAAAGACATAGTGTTATTTAAGTTATCTTGACTTTTGTTAAGACTTTCCTCCATGGATGTTGAAGGAGGAGGGTTAAAGCTCTCAAAGGAAGGAAAACCGACAGGCAAAATTATTTGCTCTGGAACATCTATCACACCACCTGGACTGCTGTTGACATCTCCATAATCCGGGGAAGAAAACATAAGGGACTGAGATTCCGCAGTTCCTGGTGGCTGTCAGAAAGACAACAATAAAGGGGAGGTTATAAATTTCAAATATTCACAAATTTGAATTATTCACAGGTTAAAAAAGAAGGACTCTGAGTAAACTTCGGAAATTATACAATCTATGCATTCAAGCAAATCTTATGTCAAAATTTTAATTTGAAAAAGAATCATCAAGAAATAAATGAAAAAAATTCATAATTTGACACAGACACATAAGAAAGACAACACAAGGCAAAATAAATTATGAAAACGAACTTACACTCCCAAACAATAACATAGAAGATAGAACAAATGAAACAACATTAATGCAATAAGGATCTTAAAACCCTCTTTATATTTGAGGAGATCCATATTCTGCTGGTAAAGCATACAAATTAAAAGTGTGGCAGGTACCATATGTACTTTTATTCATTCGAGAATCAAACTTATGTTCCAATATATAAACTGCAAAAACAAACAAATGCATAATTATAGAGGAGTAACACAACCTATTTGGATGTCTAATTTACACATGAAGTGTTTAAATTTGTTATGCACCTGTTTATAAATGGAAATCAAAACTCAATGACTCATAGTGAAACTAAGGATTGTAGAACAGAAAAAAATGAAAATCAAATGTTATCCTCAGCAAATCAGAGTAAAAACATTCAGATACCTCTCCAAAAGGCAAGACATCATTTTCGAAGAAGTCACCAAAATCACCAAATTCTGATAGAAGGGCTTGAATATCCATTTCCATGCCCCTATCATCTTCATCCCAGTCCCAATAAGACCCAATTGGCTCATTTCCAACTCCTGTGATGGCTGAATTATTCACTTCCACGGAACCAAAATCAGACATGTAAGCATCTTGCACAGGAATGTTTGTAGCTGTACTTAATGACTCTGTCACCCCTGTTCGAGACCTCTTAGAGCCCTGCAGAGAAATACAAGAAGCTATTATGATTAATTGCACAAAAACAAGGATCAGCAACACGAAATTAAAAACACTCCTTAAAGGAAAAAGAACGGCAATTCAATAATAAGTGTCTATGGAATATTGTTAAAGAAATTTTTCACATTTTCAAGAAAAATGCTGCATAATAATATTTTTTCTTCATATATTTTAAAAATATATTAAGTTAGCCTTCTTTATGAGCATATAATTTTGCAAGTAGCTAGGTTACGAAGAGAGAAGCATGTGTATCACTATGTTGTAATGGTACTGTAAACTCGCCATGTACCTGTATTCATGACATGTGGTCTCCGTTTTACATTTGAAATTAAAATGTGGGAATGCATGTTATCATGTGAGGTACCTAAGGGTATGGCAACTTCTCTGATCAGTTTCAGTGCATCATGCATGCAATACATTGTTTTAGAAAAATACAGCCACCTTGATTTTTTCACAGTCCAATAAAATATCATAACTGCTTTTATCCCAAAGAAACAAATCAGGGGGAAATTTTTGGTAACTAGCTTTAGTAGTTTAGGTAGAAGTATTGACACTGGATTTTTATGGCACCGTGCAGTTTATGCTATTATTTGATTGATTTGGTTGATGGGTGGCATTCAATTTTTAAGGAGGTCAATAGGCTTGATGATATGGGCTTAGATTGAGCAATTTGCTCCTATTTGACGCAAAGCACATGATTTTTAAGAGGTACCTAGCAGATATGCATAGTAATTGGGTAGCTTTGTTAAATTGGTTTTCTTCTCTTTGCTGCAATTTTTATTTCCTTTTGGATGATCAATTATCAGCTAAGTTCTTTCTAATTTTCTTTTACTCATCATGATAAACAATGTTCTGGTGTAAAAGAAATTCAAAAATTATTATTTTCAAATGTAAATAATGATATACCAATTTGGGGCCATCACTTTCCAGTTGATCAGCAGAAGACAACATAGACTGTCTGCATGTTAAGGAATCAGCATCTGCCTCCAGTTCACTTGGTCCTGTAGTCTTGTAATCACTATCACTAGAACTGGCACTTAAGCTACTAATACTGCTACTATTGCTATTGCTACTACTATCATAACTATTTTGTGTGCGGGCTCCACTGATTTCAGTCCAAGGATCTTCACTACAATCCACATTCCCAGCACTGCAGAAGGCAGAAGAAAAATTTAAGGCTTTAACTAAAACCAGTACAAATGTACTCAAACATATTTATGTGCTAAAAAAAATAACCAATAAATTATAAAGAAATGGTTTTGAAGAGGAATAGAAGTGGATAAGGTGTGTTAAAAAAAAAACTATTGTAGAAGTAAGATAACATTTTGTTTTTGTTTAGAAAAATAATTTTAAACAGAAAAGAAAAGAAATACAACTTTGGACTATGGAGAAAATAAGATTGGTACTAATACTGAAAATTGTAGACACAAGAAACATGAAAAAAAAAAAAAAAAGGTAACAGACTGCCTAATCTCTGTATGCCAGACAGCCATCGGTAGAAGACAGAAGTAGCACAGTGCTCTCAATTAACCTTAATAATAATCAAAGATGTAAGCATCAAGAAACATGCCAGGCAAAAACATGCATAAATGCAGAGAGCGATATAGAGAGCACAAACCAGTGAATAAAGGAAGAGGAACTGGGCAGGGATGGTCCCATCCAATTCTGCAGCCAAAATCTGTATGTTTCACATGAATAGATGAGTGACAGGCCTCTTCTATGAATTGAAGTATAACAGTTCATATGACAGGACAATCACAATGCACACATCAAATATTTATGTGACAATTAATTTGTTGCAGCTAAAGTGGCAGCATGAACTGTAGTTTAGGTGGAACCAATAAATTGTTAAAGGAGGCCAATGAAAACAGAGAAAATAGTCAAAAACAGAGATGACAAGACATGGTAGCTTGTGGGTTAAAGGCCAGCTATTAGAGTTTAGATTCTGGACAGATTGGTGATGGAATCTTTAACCTAGAGGTTACACACATAGAAAACAATGCTTACTACTGCTATTCAAGTGGCAACAGAGATCTATTGCTAAACACCATGATAGTGAATCGCACCAACATGAGCATTTGGGAGCAGGGAGGCTGTGCTCTACTTGGCTCCAGTCCCCATTATTAACCACTCTTCTTCAATTCAGTCTAATCTTTGGTCCATATATCAGAGCATAACATCAGTATCGTTGAGGATATTTGTTTTCTATGGAGCTGATTTGGATATGATCCAGAGAAATTAGCCTCCATTGGGAGTCAAGCATGCACTCTTTTCAAAGAGGTTCTCCAAATAGATATAGAGGGATTTGGCAATTTTGCCTCACTAACATTTTCTTCTTGATTAATTTACCTTTTACTTTCATATGCATGATCCCTTATTTTCAAATTTCAATACATTCTGTCAAATGAACTTTCTTATTTACATTAAACATTGAATTATTATATCATAAAAAATCAAGCAGGGAAACCAAATTGATTAGATTGTCTTAACTCTTGACTGCTACACTTAATCAAAGAAAGGGGGAACATGAAGTAAGATAACATAAGCATATTTAGTGGATAAACATACCTTCTCAAGGAAGACCTTGCTAATGATGTTTGTAAAACTGGCACAAGCACTGCCTCAGATGGATAGAGAATTGTTTTCTCATAATCTGACAAGTGATCGACTGATCCGTTATGATCACTTCGTCCCGTGATAGGAGATTCAGAAACATGAAGTGTGGGTAAATTCCTGACAATAGTTTTGTGTGGCTGCAACAAGTTGTCAGTTCCAGATCTTGGGAAGCCAAGACTTACTTCAACATAACAATTCTGCCCCCTCAGCTGGCAACCAACACCCTGGGAAACATGATACGGTAGACCTATAATTCCATTGGACACCCTAAATTTGGTAGAACTGCTATTAGAAATAGAAAGAAGAAAAAAGAATTCCGTCATGGTGATATCTTGATATATCAAATGTCTATATAAAAAGATATGATAAGGACCTGAAATAGCTTTGTTTGACAAGATCACTTGGAGAACAACCAGTCAAGCTACCTCGAATTCCGTGAGGAGAAACAATCACTACAATAAAAATGTAAAATGACTTCAAATGGCACCAAGAAAAGCCAACTGGATAATGAAGATGAACATTGGATATTGCTAGTAAGCCTAAGAAATGACTTCAAACCAACAATATTTTATGAGCACATAGCACACCAACCTGGAAGTCTATATGTTGACTCCATAGAATGTTTTAATACTTTTTCCAGATCACTTGTGGTAAGCATCCGGATATGTCTGATAAAAAGGAGGGGAAGTAATACCTAAATATTCCAATACTAGATAAACTATTGGCAAACAAAAAAAAATTAGCACTGTCTTACTTTGAGGACACTATGACATGTATGAAGATGGCTTCCTCAGTTGCAGCAAAGGCAAACTCAACTACAGGCTGTCCTCTTCTGGAAATATCAGAAATATGCAAAAGCAAATTCAAATTATAAAATACTATAAACAGCAGAAGATAGCTGGGTAACAGTAAAAAGGTATTGAACAAGCTAGATCACACACGCCGCATATGAATTGCTTTGTCCGGTCAAGCAGCTTTGGCGGGATTTAGGATTTAGCAATTTCAAGGTCAACGAAAACATGACTAAATTTATAGGAAACTTGAGGTCTATAGGCAGAAAAGCATGTTAAGGTACAGTGCAGTTTGTGAAAATTCAATACAGAAGATGTTGAGTTAGATAGTTGTGCATGCCTACCAAATAGTTATAATGTATACTAGGTCATACTCTGTTATCAATGCCGGATTATGCTGGCCAGGCAAAGATCTGAGATGGCAGAGCAACATATGGTGGTAGAATGTGCTTTAGTGTCTTTTTTTTTTTTTTCACTCAGCAGATTGATTAATTAAAAGGACTTACAGAGACAAATGGATTAGAATCCAAGGGAAGTGTAGAGGGGAATGTGTTGATCAATTCCCTGGACTTTTATTTGAGCATCAATAAGAGTAACATTTGGTAGATATTCATTGTAATCAGCAGCTGAATAACGCCATTATCAGATATGTTAAATATAGGGAAAAAACTGTATAGGGTTAATTTTTCTTGTGTATTTACCACACATAGGGCAGTGTATTTATAATAAAGAAAGGTACTCCTCAAAAGAGTAACAGAATACAAATAGGGTAAATAAAAGATATTATTAGATATTGTGATTAACAATATCTAACAATATCTCAACAATATCAAACAATATCAACTAATATCTAATCATATCTAACACTCCCCCTCAAGCTGGAGCATACAAATCGTATGTGCCTAGCTTGGTACAAAGATAATCCATCCTAGGTCCCCGTAAAGACTTAGTGAAAATATCTGCTAATTGATCACATGAGTTAACGAACTCAGTCTTGATGTCTCCAGACATAATCTTTTCCCGAATAAAATGGCAGTCAATCTCAATGTGTTTAGTCCTCTCATGAAAGACAGGATTAGAGCTTATATGGAGAGCAGCCTGATTGTCACACACTAGTGTCATTTGAGTGACATCTCCAAATTGTAGCTCTTTAAGCAATTGTTTGAGCCAAATAAGTTCACAGGTAGGCTGAGGCCATAGCTCTATACTCGCTTCGCACTGGATCTTGTCACAACACTTTGTTTCTTACTTTTCCATGAGATCAAGTTACCACCAATGGAAACACAATACCCAGATGTAGATCTTCTATCGGAGGGAGATCCTGCCCAATCGACATCCGAATAGCGAGACAACTCTTGTATGATTATGGGAGTCATACACCAAACCTTTTCCAGGAGACTTTTTGATGTACTTCAATATACGGATGACCGCATTCCAATGATCTTGACAAGGAGAATTGAGGAATTGACTCACCACACTCGACTCGCAAAGGAAATGTCGTGGCGAGTAACCGTAAGATAATTTAATTTTCCAACTAATCTTCTATACTGTTCAGGATCTGACATTGGCTCCCCCGATTTGGCAAGAGTTTGGTATTAGGATCCATGGGTGTGTCAACAGGCTTTGAATTCATCAACCCAGTTTCCTCCAAAATATCCAATGCATACTTTCTTTGAGATATAACAATGTCATCGGTAGATTGTGCTACCTCAATACCCAAGAAATATCCGAGTTTGCCAAGATCTTTGGTTTGAAAATGGTGGCAAAGGTGTTGTTTCATCCGAGAGATGCCATGATGGTCACTACACTGTAAGAACAATGTCATCGACATACACTATCAAATAGATACATCCAAGCATTCGAGTGACTGGTAAAAGACCGAGTGGTCTCGCCTCACTTCTAGTCATGCCAAATTGTTGAACAACGTCGCTAAATTTGCCAAACCAGGCCCTAGGAGACTGTTTTAGGCCATATAAAGATTTGCGAAGACGACATACCAATCCAGAAGACTCCCCCGAGCAACAAATCCAGGAGGTTGCTCCATATAAATCTCTTCTTGCAAATCGTCATTCAAGAAAGCATTTTTGACATCCGAGTTGATAAAGAGGCCATTGTTGAATAGCGACCATGGCAATGACTAAACGAACGAAGCCATCTTTGCCACTTGGAGAGAAAGTATCATCATAATCCAACCCAAAAATTTGGGTATAGCCTTTGGCTACAAGGCGAGCTTTGAGGCGATCAATAGTACCATCGGGACCAACCTTGATAGCGAAGACCCACCTGCAACCAACAACAGATTTTCCAGATGGTAATGGGACAAGCGTCCAGGTTCCACTAGTCCGAAGAGCACCGAGTTCATCTAGCATGGCCTGACGCCAACCAGGGTGGGCTAAGGCTTCGAGAGACAGATTTAGGAATAGACACAGAAGAAATAGACGAGAGACAGGTATAAAATGGTGAAGAAATTCGATGATAACTTAAAGCGAGTATAATGTGGAGAAGGATTACGAGTAGAACGCGTACCTTTACGAAGGGCAATAGGAAGGTCGGACTCGTGGATCGGAACCGGAGGAGGCAGAGTATTTGGCACTGGGAGTGCATCATGTGGCGTCTGTTGTGGGCGAGGTCTGCGACTATAAACCTGAAGGGGTGGTGGAGGATGAGGGGCTAATGGTGGATGGTCCTCATCATAAGGATCAATGAGAACAGGAATGGGAACTGTGGCAGATGGAGACTCAGCAGGTAGGGAAGGATCCTTAAAGTAAAAGGAAAACTCATTGAAGGTGACATCGGCAGACACAAAATAGCGATTAAGAGAAGGAGAAAAACACTTGTATCCTTTTTGGGATCGAGTAAATCCTAAGAAAACACATTTGTGTGATCGAGGAGATAACTTATCATAACCAAGATCAAAATTGAGAACAAAACAGGTAGACCCAAAAACCTTCGGAGGTAAAGGATGGAGAGTGTCATGAGGAAATAAAATAGAATGGGGAATTTTGTTATCTAAAACCGAAGAGGGCATACGATTAATAAGATAACAGGCAGTAAGAACAGCATCACCCCAAAAATGTTGAGGAACCGCACCATGAATTAAAAGAGTACGGGTTGTTTCAATAAGGTGTCTATTCTTGCGCTCAGCCACCCCATTTTGTTGAGGGGTATAAGCACAGGAAGTTTGATGAAAAATGCCATGAGAAGCCATAAATTGCATAATTCGTACCATCTAATTTATCAATGGGTAAATTCACATTGACATAATTAGTAAAAACAGATTGCTCAGACCCACCGGAGCTGACAGAGGTAACTTCAGAATTGGAAGTGGTAGCGGAAGATGCCATGGAGGAAGAGAGAGAAAAACCCTAAAACACCAAAGAGGTCCGATTGGAGTAGCGAGGACAGATCCAGAGAGAGGAGAAGGAGGCGACGCCGGCGCAAAGAGCGGCGGCCTGAACGGCGGCGAGACGCGCCGCCACGCGCGGCGGAACGGGAGAAGGTGGCGCTGCTTCTGGAGGCGCGTGAGGGAGCGTGGCTGCTCCGATGACCGCGAAACTTCCACGGTGGAAGTCGCACGGAGGAGGCGAGCAAAACCCTGTGCTCGGTGGTCCGAACTGCTACTTCGGCGACGGCGGCGGCGGCGGCGGACGGCGCTGGAGGCGGCGACAGCTGCAGGTTCAGTGGCAAAGCCGAAAAAAATCCCAAGAGACCTTAAGCTCTTGATACCATGTTAAATATAGGGAAAAAACTGTATAGGGTTAATTTTCCTTGTGTATTTACCACACATAGGGCAGTGTATTTATAATAAAGAAAGGTACTCCTCAAAAGAGTAACAGAATACAAATAGGATAAATAAAAGATATTAGATATTGTGATTAACAATATCTAACAATATCTCAACAATATCAAACAATATCAACTAATATCTAATCATATCTAACAAGATACAATGGAAAAGTGATGAGAGCAACATTAACAATTTTAGGCTAATGTTAAGCCTGGGTGTGGTATTAGATTAGTCTTGAAACATAGCCAAAGCTTTGGTGTTAATGCAACATCAAAGTTGACAATGACCACCACATCCTCAACCACCACAACAAAAAGAATGGAGATTATAACAGTGGAATCAACCCATGCAGGAAAAATTGTAGGAGAACTCATAAAAGCATGAGTACTGGAGAAATGCAAGTGTACAACAACTGTTCACTAGCAATATCATCGGCAAAAGTAGTGGAGCCAGACAGTATCTAATTACAAATTAAATAAAGCCCAGGTGGAAAAGGACTACGAAAACTTTGCCTTATTTGTCAACATGTTGCTTCGCATTATTAGTGAAAAGCAAGTGAGTACCAAGATCAAAAACAATGATAAAGCTTACTGAAATGCATCTATATGTCCAACTTCACCAAAATAATGTTGGAAACAATGATACAGAGATTACCAACTTCGTTCACATGAAACTTGCTCTTGCTCCAAATATCATAACAAGTCTTAATTAAGGCTTTAGTTTGGTATCAACGAAAAACCACAAAAAGCTACAGAGTAGGTTCTCAATCCTGGTGTCCAAGTGAGAATGTTTGTCTTTTCAAGCTTCTTCTCACTAATGCTGTAAGGAAAATTAATTGGACAGTGAGTAGAAGCAGACTCCAGTGACAATGAAGGTGTTGAAGGCTTCCAAGGTTCATAGGCCATGGTATCAGGTTTTTTCCAAGCTCAATTACCATCTTGAAAATTGATAGAGAGATTTGAGAGAAACTGAGGAAAATTTTATTGAAGTGTAAATGACTGTTCTGATGGCAAACTTTATTTATATATTACGCAAAGGCTACTACCTAGCTAATTGACCTGTAAGAGAATAAAGGTATAATAACTAACTACAGCTGTCAGGGACAGTGACTAGACTAGGTTATCATACAAAAAATATAAATAAAGCAAAAGCATACCTGAACAGTTCTTCACTTTGAAATTGATGAAACTTTGAAAATACATCACCAAATCTCATGTAATATAACCCAAGCAAAGCTCTGCCAAATTCAATAAGAAGAAATGGCAGATATGAGACCAATATTAAATTCACTTTCAAGAGTTGAGAGGAAAAAAGAACCTTTCTATACAATTCCGAAAATGTATAAAAATATTAGTCAAAACAATTAAAAACAACGAGCTTGGAAAAAAGAACCTTTCTATACAATTCCTCAAAGCCTGAGAGAGAGCAGCTGCAACCTCTTCCGAATCACCCGGAGCTAACCAAAGCCCAGAAGCAACAACTTCAATGAAAACAAAATCCCATGTAAAGATATAATCAGGAAACATAAAAGTGGGAAAACTCCAATCCCATAACCTTTGAAGAAGGAAATATATGTAACCATTACAAGAGTTCCGTTATACATGATACCTCTTAATCTGGATACTGCCACCTGAGCAGTCTCAACAACTGATGAATGACGCCCCGGAAGAAAAAGCCACAGCTTAATCTTTTCATCTGCTTTGTTAAATTAGAAGGAAGAAATTTAGCAATCATTTGGAAGAATTAAAAATTTGAAGAAAGAATCAAACAAAGATAAAAATAAGGGTCGATCCCATGTTATTACTTTCACCTCATGATAGGAAAGAAAACACTGAGACAGAAAAAAAGTACCAAAATGACAGGTATATCCTTAGTACATTTATATTTTGTTACATTGTAAAGGTTTAAATGTCACTAAATATTTGACATGATCACATACTTCCCACTTTTCTCTCATCTTTCTTTATATCAAAACAATAAAACAACAGCAACAAAACCTTGTCCCACTAAAAAAGGTAGGCTACATGCATCACATGACACCATCAAGCTTTGATTAAAGCCCAAATCTTCAAAGATATTATTTATCATAAGATCCTTCTTAACAACTTCCTCTAATGTCCTGCTTGGTCTCTCTCCTTTCAACAGGAATAACAACCATGTAAACCTATTATCCTCACCAGTGCTTCCAATGGTTTTTTCGTACAGGTCCAAACACCTTTTCTTACTCTGTACTACCTCAATATCCCTTTGTACACAATCATTTTGTATCCCAACCTTTTTTGCGTGGCTACATATTCATGTTAACATTCTAATGTTTGCTACTCTCACCTTTGTTTTGTCCCTTTAAATTACAATATTCACTACCACAGAGTATAGTCAGACATAAAAAATTATATTAAAACAATAAAAGAGAAAATTTTCTTTTCTGTTAATTTTTTTTCCTTTTTTATTTTTTCTCCCACTCCAAAAATGTTTAGGTAAGTAGAAAGTGGGTAACCATTTCACCCTTTCCTTCTTGTAAAAGGACATTGCAAATGATCACAAAAACACTAAGTGCAATCTACTAGCAAGTTTGTTTTACTATTTTAAATGGAATTCAATGTCAATCCTATAATTTTTGTCTTTCAGGTTTAAGTTCTCTCAAAGTGTGAAAATGTATTACAAACACACTCTACCCGGATTATGCAAGCCCTGGGATGGATCCCAAGGTCCAACAAAGGAATTGGTCCATGTGCTGAGAAGTCCCTCCTTCTGTAGTTGCAGATGTGATGAAAGAACCAGTAACATTGCGGCATCCTTTTGGTCCACTTTTACACTGTTCAAACAGAAGGCAGCCTCAGTATTATTAAACCAAGGAATCAAAACGAACGAGAATGACTCAATCTAACCTTTTGTCAGGTAGAGGGTTCAGGTCAGGTTCATGAGGAAGAAACTGAAACCATGATATCTGATGCAGACTTCCCTGTACAATTTTCCAACAATATATACACATATAAGAAGACATACAAGCAATTCATAACAGAAGTGTAGCAGCTAGGAATATATTATTTTAGGGTAAAAGTACCAAAACACATCTTTGAGTTTTAAACCTTACTTCCCATATATAATAATGATGTTATTGTTGGAAATGAAAGATTTGACCATGAGATCTCTAACTATTTATCTTATTATTTGATCTCTCTCCCACGAAAGAAGTAAGTTTTAACTTGGTTGTTTTATGGAAAAGGTGTTAAACCTGAGGTAGATATATATCCATGATACTGATTGATAAAATTGAGCAACAAAACAACATTTTTAGTTAACCTAGCCATTCAAAATAGCCTTTTCACCTTGTTTTACTAATGATGAAAAGGAAACTAAAGCTCTATAGATAAGTTGGGTAACGAATTAGGCGATTCACTAGTCCAAGCAACAACAGTAACACAATAACCCTTAACTAGAGCTGTAACATTAACATATTTCAAGCATGTGCAGAGATATGGTGATCGACTGAGGAAGGGGACCGAAGCAGTAAACATTAGCGTTTCAGTACAGAGAATAGGTGCAGTTACGGTTAAAAGAATTTTCCAGTCAACCATTGTGATTCTGACAGGAAAAATCACAATTGCAGTATTCGATCAAATAGGGAAGAAAGTACGTGCTCAAAGAAAGGTTGGTATTGTTAAAGCCTCCCGCCGTAAACATATAGAACATGTCTATAATAAAATTATATACGTTCCCATATCAAGATTACTAAAAACAAGAACACCTGGTATCCACTGATTATGCGCTAATTTACAACACGTTTAGTCCTTAAAAAAGTTAAAACTTATTCATGAGATGAGTACGGCACAAACAACAAAGTCAGCTAAGGGGTAAAGGTAAAACAAAATAAATCATATTAAGTCGCAGCATAAAAGTAGTCAGCCAAACAAAGTGAGAAGTAAACACACTTACGATTTTAAAAACATTTGTCCACATAACTGGAATATGGTTATGAAGGCTTCGGTGAATTGAATTAGGGTTTGGCTGAAATGAGACGCGGCTAATCTGTTTATGTTGGGTCAGACTTCGACCTCATAAAATTAGGACGAGGGTTTATGAATCGTTTACTTGCTTCTGCTCCTGCACAAACCAACCAAAAAAGCACCCCATTCCATTTGAAATTTCCGAATCTGATTCAGAATGCACCGCTGATCCCACCGTGTGTTTTCGTTTTGCTCATGGGTGAAAAATATATTTTCATAACAAAATATGTTTACAATGAATTTCACCATTTAAAAAATAAAATTACGTGTAAGAAATCTTTCCTCGAACCATCGTTGTAAAAAACTTTGACGGTTAAATTAAGCTTAGTATCATCCGATAATTTTATTAATATACTACTCTCTTTTTGTTTTGTTTTTTATAAATTTTTTTATATATATTCATTATAATTATGTTAGTTAAAATTATTATTATTAATATTTATTTAATTGTTTTGTTATATATTATTTTATTAATTATTTTTATATGTTATTATTTTATTTAATATCTTATATTAATTATTATTATTATTATATATGGGTCCTATGGTAAATCTTCTTTTATTACTCATTCTCAAATATATTATTCTTTTATCTAAAGTTTATGTAAATGTTAGAATGTCTTTTATATGTAGGCACATGCTCTTTTAAAAGAATTATTTTCAACTATTTTGAAGTTGTCGTCAGAATATGATTTATCGATCTCTTCACTCCAACCTTAAACTATCTTGTTAACCTCTTCAATAAAAATATTTGACGTCCACCACGAGACCTTAGTAAAATAATTCTTGTGATCTCTTTCGACCTCCAAGTTTGGGGGACTTGTGTACTTGTCCAACCCATGTCCATTAAAACCATAATATTTATTTAATTATCTTATTACATATTGTTTTAGTAATTATCTTTGATACATTATTATTTTATATAATATCTTGTATCAGTTATTACCTTTTTGGGTATTATTATCTTTTGGATCCTATATAAGAAAATTCGAGTCTCTGAATAAATCTTACATTTCACTCATTCTTAAATACATTACTTTTTTGTCTAAAAGCTAACTTGAAGTTCCTTTTGAATGTGGGTCTCTACTTTTTTCAAATGAAGTTATTTTCAACCATCTTGAAGTCGTCGCTCAAAATTTGATCTACCAATCTCCTAAATCCAACCTCGCTTTTTGTCAACTTCTATCAATTGGTCGGAACATTTTGTGTACCTAAGCGACCCATGTCCATTAAAAGTATAATATTTATTTAATTATCTTGTTACATATTATTTTATTAATTATCTTTGATATGTTATTATTTTATATAATATCTTATATCAGCTTATTATCTTTTTAGATATTATTATCTTTTGGGTCTAGGGTGTAAATATACTACTCTCTTATCTAAAAACTGATTTGAACATCATAGTCCTTTTTAAATATGAGTCTATTCTCTTTTCAAAGGAAAGTTATTTTCAATCATCTTAAAGTCATTGATCAGAATCTAATTTATCGATCTTCTCAATCAAACCTCACACCCTCTTGCTAACTTCCACTAGTCCACACTACTAGAAAATATACTTTCAACGTCGTTGTTTAACGTCGGTTACATCTTAGCCGACGTTGAACATGCTTTCAACGTCGATTGGTCAACAACCGACGTCGAAAGTCGAATTTTGACACATTCTACGTCGTTTTAGCATGCACGACGTGGAAAGTAGGCTTTCGACGTCGGTTATGCCCTCACCCGACGTTGAAAACCCTTCTGAACTCATTATGACCGATCAGAATACAAATATGACCGATCAGAATCAAATGTGATCGATCAGATTTTAATTATGAGCGATCAGAATTTTTTCAATCGATTAAAAACACGTTTCAATCGATTAAAATCTCTTAAAGGGTCAGGATGATCGATCAGAATCCAGTTATGACCGATCAGAACTATTTTAATCGATTAAATCTCGTTTCAATCGATTAAAACATATGACTGGAGATAAATCGAGTTTCAACGTCGGGTGTGGGTATAACCGACGTCGAAACCCCGTCTTCCCATTTGAATAGGCTACCATTTTTGTATCTCCCCTTACTCTCCAGCATCGCGTCCACTCCCCTTACTCTCCAGCATCGCGGCCACCACCTACCACCGTCATTTGGACTCTCCGGACGCCCTCCCTCACGTCGCCACCGCGCACCGCGTGACACCCCCGCCGCAGCACCTCCACCCCACTGCAGCTTCCACCCCACCGCGACGCTAGTCGCCCACCGCGACGCTAGTCGCCCACCCTCCACCCCCACCGCAGCCTCCACCCACATTGCATTGTCCGCTCACCACAGCCTCGACCCTAACGCCGCATTGCATCGTCCACCTCCACCCGAGTGCAGCGCTGCTCTGTTTCTCTGTGGTGCGAACCTTCATCGCTGCCTTAAACCACAAGTACGATGTTGTTGCACTTATATTTGTTGGGCAAAGTCATACAATTTTACTTACTACATTTCATAGGTAGAGATTGTTAGTCATTTGCCGTTAACTGTTGATTCAATTCTTAGTCATATTATAGTTTTTTTCAATGTATTGATGATGTGTACAATTATACTTGAACTGCTTGAATATGCCCGTGGGGCTTTTTATTGTCAGGTTTCACTGTGTCATTTAAAATTGTTGCCAAAAAACAAAGGAAACTCTGCCGGATTTTTGTTAGAAATTAATCATGAAGTGTGAATTCTGAAAACTACATATAACAATGTAGTTATATAAGTGATGGTAGTAACAATGAAAACTCTATAATTTCAATTTATACAAATTTGGTTTTGACCAAAAAATAGACGAAATTCTGTTGAAATTTCGTTACAAATTAATCTACTTTGGTATAGATTTCATTAGAGATAACGATTATTAGCATTAATCGTTTTATGGGTTTCTCATTTGTAGACTCCAATTCCAAAATGGATCGAAGTTGGGTAAATGCAAGTCGTATTTCACAAGAGTATGAGAATGGAGTTGAAGAATTTTTGCGATTTGCCGAACACAATGGCACCAAGGTTAATGGAAAATTGTATTGTCCATGCGTTAACCGCGTTAATGGGAGAGTACACACACTAGAGACAATACGGGAACATCTTTTATGTGATGGGATAATGAAGAATTATATCCTATGGACATGGCATTGTGAAGTGATTGATACACCAATAGTAACACAAGTTGAGGAAGAGGAGGATATGACAATGGAAGATCGAATAGAAGACATGATTCGTGATGTAGGTCAAGAGAATTTTCTCGCAAGCACATGCCGCTGTCTATGATAAATTGAAGATAGATTCAGAGATACCTCTGTATGCTGGATGTACAACATTCACGCGATTGTCAGCTGTATTGAGATTGGTCAATTTGAAGGCCAAATTTGGTTGGAGTGATAAAAGTTTCACCGAGTTACTAGAAGTTTTGAAAGATATGCTCCCAAGCGATAACACCTTGCCTCGATCGTATGTATGAAGCCAAAAAAATACTTTGTCCAATGGGTTTACAGTATAAAAAGATACATGCTTGCCCTAATGATTGTGTATTATACGAGAAAAGAGTTTGAAAGCCTACATGAGTGTCCAAGATGTGGTGTATCGCGTTACAAATTGAAAGACAAGGATGATAATAGCGAATGTATTGATAGAAAGAGACCTCCTGCAAAAGTTATATGGTATCTTCCAATTATTCCAAGATTGAAGTGATTGTTTGCCAATGGAGAAGATGCCAAGAATATGATATGGCATTCAACCGCACAAAAACGTGATGGATTGCTTCGTCATCCGGCCGATTCTCCACAGTGGAAGAAAATTGACTGCCTATTTCCAAGTTTTGGCAGTGATGCAAGAAATGTTAGACTTGGACTAGCCACAGACGACATGAATCCTTTTGGTAACTTAACCAGTAATCACAGCTCATGGCCAGTTCTTTTAGTGATTTACAACCTTCCACAATGGTTGATTTTCAAGCGCAAGTACGTGATGTTATCCATCATGATTGCAGGTCCAAGACAACGGGGTAATGACATAGATGTTTATCTAAGTCCGTTAATAGATGACTTAAGGCTATTGTGGGAGGAAGGAGTGGATGTGTTTGATGCATATCAACAGCAGAGCTTCAAGTTACATGCAATGTTATTTTGTACTATCAATGACTTCCCAAAGCATATGGAAACTTGAGTGGGTATAGTGTCAAGGGTCATCATGCTTGTCCTATTTGTGAGGAAGATACAAGTTTTCTACAATTGAAGC